ACTAACTCTGCTGTTAATACAGCTGTAGCCTCCAAACCTGCCGGCTCTCCAGTCCCTTACTGCGTCTGTCCCTGCTCTGGTGGGTGTCACCTTGTCCTGGCTGTGCCCTGGGGACCCGGTGCTGGGGTGGGAGCACTCGTGGGGGCCACAGAGGGCAGGGGGGCCAGGGCCATTGCCCAGGCTCTTGGTGTGGGTGTTCTGCCCACTGTAGGGTTCTTCTGCACCATGAAATCGTTGGCTTTGCCCAGGGGGTTTCCAGGCATGTTCTGCCCATCTCTGCAAGCACAGGTTTGTCCCTCCATCCCGTCTCACCCTGGTTGCTGCTGGAGCTTCAGGTCCTGCTTTGGCAAAATGCTTCATTGAGGGTCCAAAGTTCAGGGGGAGTTTAAGCACCAACTTCTGCTGTCTTCAGCGGTAATTGGCACTTAAGACCCTTGAAAAAATCAAGCCTGGGGTGAGAAATATTCAGTGTCTGGTGTCTGCTTTGATTTTGTTCGTGGTGCCCAAGTGCTGCCTCGGTGCATGGCAGCTGTGCAGAAGGTGGGGAGGGTCGATCCTCCCCAGACTCGAACACTGACCTGGTCCCTTTGTGGGACAGCGGGAGTAAAGGCAAGTCCTGGTTTTGAGCTGCGGAAATGGAAGCACCTTGGTGCCCCGGGAGCCCTGCCAGCCCCCGCTGGCCCCTGCGTCTGAGACGAGGACAACACGGTGGTGCTGTGCAGCCCCGTGATGCTGAACTGGGGAGAAATTCTCCTGTTGTGCCCCAGAGAATAAAAGAAGACCCCGAAGGTGAGTGCCATGGGCACATGGGTCCTTCCTGCTTGTGTGCATGTAGCCTCTGAATTTGTAGGAGAAGGAGAAGAGTTCGATGAACGTGTTTTGACCCACAGCTGCTTTACCAGTAAGTGTTTGTGTTTGTGTGTCCTCTGCGCTGCTCCCGGTACAGGCAGGACCAGCTCAGCAGTGTGGTGTAAGCCCACCAACCAGGGCACTGACACCACCGCTGCCCTTAGCCCCCAGCTGCCAGTGGCTATTCGGTCCTGTCTGCTCTGCCAGCATCTTCCCGGAGGTCACCTTGGAGGTGGCTCATTTTAGCTCTCAATGGAGAGGGGGTTGCATGCAGAGGCTGAGCTCTGTGCTGCCAGCCCTGCAGAGCTGGTCTTGGAGGCATCAGGGAAGGTTTTTCATGGCATACATGTGGCATGTGAATTCATAGAATCATAGAATGGTTTGGGTTGGAAGGGACCTTCAAGATCATCTAGTTCCAGCCCCCCTAGTGGAAGGGACACCTTCCACTACACATATTGCTCAAAGCCTCATCCAACCTGGCCTTGAACACTTCCAGGGATGGGGCAGCCACAACTTCCCTGGGCAACCTGTTCCAGTGTCTCACCACCCTCTTTGTAAAGAATTTCTTCCTTGGATCTAATCTAATCTCCCACTTTCAGTTTAAAGCCATTGCCCCTTGTCCTGTCACTACACGTCCTTGTGTACCCAGAGCTAAACGCAGCACTGCAGGGGGGGTCTCACCAGAGCAGAGCAGAGGGGCAGAATCTCCTCCCTCGGCCTGCTGCCCACGCTGCTCTGGATGCAGCCCAGGATACAGTTGACTTTCTCCCCAATGCTAAAGAGAAGGGGCAGCTGCTCCCAGCCTGTCCCCATAACCATCCCTTGCTCTGATCCCCTTGCTGGGCTCCATCTTCAGCAGCACAGCGAGGGTCTGATCTCTGCTGAAGCTTTCACCTGCCTGAAGAAATAATTGCACTGTGTGCTTTTCCCTTTATTTCCCTTAACTAGGTTTGCTTGGCTTATACCCTCTTTAGAGCTGATTTCAATTCCTTAGCCCCATGCAACAAGCGCTATGGGCAAGAATTGGAACTCTCAAATGCTTTGGTTTTGCTGGAAACATTAAAAAACAAGACTGGGATGAAGTTTTCTCCGAACAGGAGGTGATCACACTCCTCGATTCTGCCCAGGTGAAGGGTGGAGGAGGGGGTGGCCGCGGTCCTGTCCGTTTGTCCTGGGGATAAATGAGGGACCGAGCGCGCTCCCTCCCCGCCGAGCCAGGGATCCACTGCGCGCCTCCGAAGATCATGTTTTGCTTCAAAAAGGCCTTTCTCATCTGCAGAGCTCTGACCTGAGATTTTCCCTTAAAGCCAAGGTGGCCGGGAAGGCAGGTTTTTGGATCCCACCGCCCCGGGCAGTGAGGGACAGGTGCCCGGCTGGGATGGACGGTCTCTCCCACAGCACCGCCGGCCTTTCCTCTGCTCCTCCTGAGTATTTTCCCTTTGGAGCTCAACAGCAAAAAGCCATTTTTTCTCTTTTTTTTTTTTTTTCACATTTAGGTATTTAATGGACTCAATTTTTCCTGCGAAAAGGTTTGCCTTTCTCCCGTCTCCCTCCCCACATCCCTCCCCCTTTCTGAACCCCATCACAGAGGTATCGTTTGTTCCCGGCCGCTGGTCTTGATGGTGTCAAGACGAATAATCCCCGGTGTGGGGGCATGGGAGGAGGAGCGTAGGGGGGGGAGCCGCAGTCCCTGCAGCAGGGAGGCTAGTGCCGAGTGGGTGTCACAGCATCCCTCCCTCCCTCCCTCCCTTCCTCCCTCCCTGCTGTGGGTCCCGGCATGGGAGAGCGCCTGTAGAGCCACCCAAGCTAGACGGGACCGTGGGGCACCGAGAAAGCTTGTATGCTGCTCCCACACAGGTCTTTGCTCCATGCCTCAGTTTCCCTGCAGGAAAACAGGCTTCTCCCCCCCTCCCTGGGCTGCGCTGGGTTCGGCACAATAGCAAACCTCCACGTTATTATTCTGGGGGCGGAAAGCAGCATTACTCAGAGCCAGGATTGCTAATAACACACTAAATATAGCACTTTCCATCTCCGGAGTACTTTCTGAACTCTAGTTCATGAGCCTTAAACCCCCCCGGAGACAGGGGCCAGGGCACCGGTGGGCATCACTGTGTGGGCAGGGATGCCAGGAGAGCAACGGGACAATGTTCCCCATGGATGCTCCTGCCTGGACATGCTTCCTGTTGGGCATCAGGTCATTCCCTTCTGAGCTCGCCCAGGTTGATGGGGACGGGGGCGGCAGGCCGAGGTGCTGGGGCGGGCGGGCAGCGAGGGACGGGAAAAAATAAGGGTGGGAAGCGCCTGCTTCTCCCACTTGCCCTGCAAGAGAGTTTGGCACCATGAGCCCAAGTCAGAGTTTCGGGTACTTGGAGACTGTGTTTCTTCCTACTTATAAAAATGAAAGGATCTTTCGTATTTGAACTGGTTTTAGCCCAAACCAGGATGTTTTGTCATGAGACATTACTAATTATTTGTATTGCAGATGCACCTATGCATCTCCTCCACAGCGCAGATGTCTGCAGTGCACCGCGCTGCACAAACCCGCTGCAATTAGGGAGTTTCCACCCCAAAAAGCGTTACCCACCAAATCAGGTGGAGACAACTCAAACCAGAGTGTTCATGCTCTCAGCCCAGACCTGAAAAACACTCTCTACCAGGTCACGGAAGAAGGTTGGTTGGAGGCAACATCTGCAGCACACCAGCATGGACGCTCATGTGCAGCTGCTATGGAACAGGACGACAGAACAACCTGGATGAGGTGCCATGGGGCAGAGCTGGAGAAAGGCTGTCACAGCCATTAGGGCTCCAGGTGACCACAGCCAGAACAAAACCCCCAGCTCCGTGCATATGTGGGGGCACCTTGTCTTGGGGATGCTCCCTGCAAGGAGCAATCTGCCAGGTTCGGAGGGTGCCCAGGGCTGATGTAGCTCAGCTGTGATGTGTTGGTCCGGGTTAGGGGCTGGGTGAGATGCAGGCAGGGGCTGCGGGGGCGAAGCGGGGCTCAGTCTGGGCTGAGCTCTGCTCCGGTGATGCCACGCTTTGGCTGCCGGCCGCGCGCTCATGCGGAAACGTCGGCGAGAGGCTGAGCCGCAGCGTGAGCAGGAGGAGGGAGGTCTGGAGAGGAGAGGTAGAGCCGTGAGTCATCAGCAAGAAGATGAAAGTTGAATTTGCCTTTTCAGATTCAATTCCTTGGAGCGTGTCAAGCAAAACGGGCCAGAGCCTGTGCCAGCACCAGGAAAACCCTGGGGAAAGGTGGAGGGGGGTGGACAAAGCACACAGGAGTGACCAGAGAGGGGACAGCATGGCAGGGGACCACCAGCTGGAGAAATGACTATTTTCCTGTACCCTTATGGCTTAAGAGAGCAGTTAGGCATGTTTAGGGTGCGCCTCCTCCAGGGCTCCTTGTGCCTTGCCAGCACCCTGCTTTTGGGGTAGATCAAAGGCATTTGGAGTGTCTCCATAGCTGTTGTTTTCAGTGCTTTTGAGTGGAAATCTGAACATGGGGAGTTCACTGCGAGCCCTTGCAGGTGCAGGGGACTTGGGTACAGCGATATCCCCGCAGCCGCTCACAAGTGTTACCCTGAGATTTTGCTCCGTAATTAACAGCACTCAGTCCTTCCAGAAAATCGTCAGGTTTGGGATCGCTGAACTGCAAAAACACGAGCTTAATTAGAAGCTGGTGCTTTTCTCTTGGCAGAAACAGCGTGCAATAAATGAGATGTCTTAAAATCGGGCTCGCTCTGAAAACCCTGGCAGAGCAGGAGGGGCAGCTCAGCTCCATCGCCCTCACTGCGATGCTCGTGACCCACTTTGTGCCGGCATCAGATCTGCTCCGCTCGAGTCTCTGCTCGGCCGCTGCCCAGACTTCTCTGAAATCAAGAGAGTTGCCTGGGCCATAATTAAGAGGCTTAATTGATAATTCTGCTGCTGAACAAAACTTCGGAGCCCCGTCTGTCCCTGCAGCAGGGCTCCGCGTGGCCAAGAGGTGCTGGGTCTCCAGTCCTGAGGTACTGGGAATGTTTCTGGCCCTCCAGAGTGGACTTTGCTAAAGGGGATTTACTGGGAAAGAAAGCTGATGGTCTTCCCTGCAACCAGCTCAGTGTTCTCCAGCGCTGCAGTGGATAACGTATCGTGTAAGTTTATTACACTGATAAACGGTGTCCGGAACTGATGGTGATAGGGACCATCAGTGCTTTTAAATCTTCATCCCCAGAATTGTCATGACCATCATCGCTGGTTTGTCTTTCAAGACCTCACGGCCCTTCATCTTCCTTTATCTTCCACGTTTTGCTGGATCACTGTGTTTGGAGCTGCGCAGATGCTGTGCGTAACGAGCTCGCTCTGCTGAGAGCCAAAATCCTGAAAACCACCTCACCTTTCTTCTCGGTTCGGGAGCTGGCCCTGCTTTAACGCTCAGCAAAGGCCGCCTCCAAATCGCTTTATGCAAATGTGTCTCCTAATTGAATCCGGCCGAGCGCATCCACAGCGGGCTCGTGCCGTGTTGGTTTAATCTGGGCTGGACTGGGAGTCCTGCTGCTTCCAGCCTTCCCCGGGCAGCTCCAGCTCCCTGCCCCGAGCCTGCTGTGTTCAGCCGCGTCCTGAGCACCGGGGACCTGACCCAGCTCATCGGGGTGACCCTGCAGCACAGCTCTGCCGAGCTGCTTTTTACCTCCGGCCGGGAGTTTTGCTGTGGAGCTTTGGTTGTGAAGCTGTACCTACCGGGAACCGGACGGCTGAGGATTTGTTGCAGTGCACCGAGATCGGAGCGAAGCCGTAGAGGGATCTCAGCACGTCCCTGTTGAACGTGTTCCAGGGGACGGAGGAAAACTGTTGCGGGACAGAAACCTGCGGGCACGTGCAGACCTCCTCATCGTTAAACCTGGGGCAGGAGAGATGCCACACTGAAACGCAGCAGAGCTGTCCCCTTTCAGCACTGGATGTTCTAATTCCTCCCTGCCTGAAGCTCGCCCTGGAACGGCTCTGAAGTGGGCGCTGGGAGCTGGGAGAGCCTGGCGCAGCCGGTACTTGTGGGGGAAGATCTGGGGCCAGCTGGACTGCCCGGGAGTAGGACACCCTGTGCAAGGTCAGCATCTCACCCCTCTCATCGTGGGTGATTGAGCTGCAGCCTGCTTCTCTGGCAGAGGTACCTGGTGTCTGCTTTGGTTTACAGGAGGTATTTTGCACATAAGCACTGAGCTGTGCTTCCCAGCAAGCAGGGGAAGATCTGGGGCGAGCCGGACTTGCAGCTCTGAGTGCAGGGAAGGGCCTGGACCTTGGACCCTACACTGCCTGAGTGCCCCTGCACACCTACAGCACAGCCCGGGCCCCAAACCCCACTTTTTAAACTTTTTTCCAGTGCTCCAAGCAAAGGGCTCTGCCACGGTCCCTCTCCCCAGCATCGCTGTGCAGGGACTCTCTACCTGTTCACCAGGTTGAAGTATCGGTGCAGGTAGCCCGGATCCACAGCGCTTTTGCACAGCTCCAGCTGCGTCTGGGGGTAGTAGTGCACGTAGTTCACGCACATCTCCTCCAAGATGCCGAACCCGCCCTGCGGCACAGACACAAAGGTGCTGGTAGTGGGGTCCAGCTCTGCCGTGCTGGGGATGCAGAGGCAGCAGGGAGGGCAGAGGGGCTGCAAAGGCATGAGGCTCACACCTACATGTGCATACATGCACACGCACATGTGCACACACACACATGTATATATATGCAGCCCTTCAGCCACACTCTGCTCATCTGCCCATCCACCCTTTATACAAGGACAGACTTTCAGGCTAGATCGTGTGGTTTACATTAAAATGCAGATTTCCTATAATCCCTCTGCTATATTTAGCTGGGTCCCTGTTGATGGTACCTCTGACAGGCTCTTTTTTTGCTGCCTGTGTAAGAAAATAACATGCGCTGTCAAAAAGCGCCACTTCTCTTTAATTACAATTAATCCCCGGTGGAACGGTTTGTGATGGGAATTAGAGTGACACATGCAACTTCTCAATTAGCACCTTAACGTCCTGCTGCAGGCAGCAGAGCCTTGGGGGCTCATGTCTTTACCACCCTCCCTCTGGTTTCTGGCTGTGATTCAGCCTGGCTTCATGCAGGTGCCCACTTTAGGGGTGCCCCCAGCCCTGGGGTGCAAACCCAGGCTGGCCCCATACCCCCATGCTCACCACGGTGGCTTGGCTCCGGTCCTCCGTGTTGTATGTGCAGGTTGTGATGAGTTCGTCGCCCTGGGGGAGTTAAAATACAGACACATGTAGGTGTGAGAGTGCAGAACTTCCCCTCTCCGATCAGTAAATTTGGGGATCAGGGAGCCTGTAACGTGGCGGTAGCAGTGCCAGCCTGCGGGCAGCCTGTTTCCCCGCCCGCACCGGCCGCGGTGCCGCAGGGGCACCTGCTAAACTTGCGTCCCCTGGGGAAATTCTCACGGGCTGTATCCCAGGGACAGTGTTTCCTGCTGTTCTCACTTTTTAAGGATTTCTGCAGGGCTGAAGCACCTAAAAAACATACTCTTGGGCAACGTTTTGAACCGCCAAACCTGTACCCAACTGGATGGCACAACTGTGTCCCCACCACGGTTGGTGCCAGGGCCCGTAGTGACACATTGGAGCACAGCCCTGGGTAGGTTTCAATAGGTGCTGAGGCTTTTGGGCAGCCTCCTGGGTCTTGCTGGCTCCTGTAGGTGCCTCCGCTTTGCACCAGAGTCCTTCCGCACCCGTACAGCCCCTGGGCACGCTCAGCCTCTGTTTTACCACCCACTCCCACCACATTTGCTGCCGAATCTCTTCCTCTCCTTCTCCCAAGCGAGGAGGGAGGGGGCACCTCCAATGCGTGCGTGGTTCACCCCCACCCGCTGAGCAGCCTCCCTCTGCTAGAGGAAGCCCGGCTAAATTAGGTGCTTAATTTAGCTGCCGGCACAGTTCGGTTGCCCACACACCAGTTTCGTGCCGTATGAGACAGGTCCCTGGTGTCTCCAGGGTGTCCGTGCAGGGTGGCAAACATGACCTGAGGACCATGGGGAATGTGTCCTCCTGCAGTCCCCCAGGAGGTCTCGGGTGGCAGCAGTGCCCGTGCGTGGGCAGGGGCTGCCGGTGGGTCCCGCGGGACATGGCTGTGGGTGGCGGAGGGGATGGGGTGGAGTGAAGGAGTCGGGGTCTCAAGGCTGAGGGGTCAGGGGGAGGTCTCGTGCTGTTTGGAAGCTGCCATGGGTTTTTGGAGCTACTCACTGGAAAAACTGCCACCATCTCCTTCAGCATACGGATCTCCTGGGAGAGGAGGAAAGGGGCCACATCAGAGCAAGGCCATGTGCTGCAGCCCCATGGGTGACGTCCAGCCGGGACCCCCCGCTGCCCCTGCAGACCCCCGTACCTGGAAGTGGGGGCTGTAGTGACCATCCGCGTTCACGACCTGCCGCTCTCTCCCGTCCC